TATGACTCCAAAGAGAACGTCTACGATATGACCTTAAGACGCATCTGAGACGTCCATGTTATGTCGTAAACGCCTGTTTAAGAACAACAATAGACCAAAACCAGACGTCTTGAAGATGTTCTGATTAGTAACAACCGGCCTCTGTTAGACTTTTGCAGACGTCTTTAATATGTGCTATTTGGGTATCTCATGGGTAAACAGTTCAAAACTGAGTTGTTGAGTACAAAATGCACTATCATTACTGTCGGCAAACTTCCTATTATGCATTTAGGCTGGGGGTACTTATCAGATATATCATAAATTCTGTCGTTTTCTATAATTCGTCACTATGTAGTTTCATTCGAGTATCTGATGTTTTTGGACGCTTAAATTGCAGTTTTTCGTGTAATACGTTCCTGGAAGTTAGCCATCAGTAATAAAGTTCAACTATATCCTGGCTTTTTTACCGTCTGGCGTTCCCTATGAAGTAAAAGAAAGTATCAATTTTAATCTCCTTTACGTCGCCGCCGTCTGTCAATGGTCGAGAGGACTGTCTGAGCATAATACCGTCATACACTGGTTACATGGTACAATTAGTTTAAAAAGAACTAATCCGTTTCATTGCGCCTGGATAAAATGTCTCCTGTGCTTGTCCGCCTGTCCCTGTCCCCGGCTGCGCCTCCACCCCATCTCCATTGGTCTTCCCCTACAGATACTTCTTAGTACTGGATAAATAGAATACATAATACATCGACACACCTCGCCAGTTTCCTATTTTCAAAGATGGTGACTTTATGTTCTACGATTATGAAGTTCTCATAGCATAGCACAGCAATGTATAAGTTGTCTCATATTGTGTATAATAAAAAGTGTACTGGTTCTATTTAGGTGGGGCGGAGTGTATATGTCGTCGTCAAACGCTGAAATCCGTAACTCCCTGAATTGCCTAGTCAGCCCCCGTATTGCCGGCAAACACCGCAACAGTTTGATTATGACAACGTTTCACTAAGCATTTCACTTATTCCCTGTAATGACTGAACAATTTCAGTACAACAACACCGTAACAGCCACATTAACTTCGTTACGGCATTTGCCTGATTCAGTCGTTCATTGTACCAGTTTTGTATTAATTTGCTTGAGTATACACAACGTCTCTTCTGTGTTTGTAAAAATGTCGTAGCATCCAGAATTGTTGTACAAGAAACTAAGTGACAATGTGAATAAGAAAAAACCATGGAATACAAATGAGTTAAAGGAGATAAGTTAATTTTAATAATTTTGTGAACCTAACCTAAATTATAACATACATAGGCTTGCTCAACAGCAGCATCCAGTTGCTGGATTTCGTACATACAGTAAATACTTGATTAAAAAACAATAATGTAGTAATAAAGACAACCTTTTAATCTATTCTTCTTTTCTTCTAGATTATTGCATTCTTGATTATTTTTCTTTTAATATTATTGATAAAGTAGTACCTTGTTATATTATGTACTTCATTGGAGCAACACTGTATTGATTACAGCGTTTGACTAAAATAAGCGAATACAGTAACGAAGTTTATGTGTTTGTTACGGTGTTTGACTGAAATTGTTCAGTCATTAGGTCATTACAGGGAATGACTGAAATGCTTAGTCAAACGTTGTAATAATCAAACTTCCGGTGTTTGCCGGCAATACGGGGACTGACTAGGCATTTCAGGGAATGACGGATTTCAGCGCTTGACGCCGACATATATATATATATATATATATATATATACATACGATATATATATATATATATATATATATATACAGGGTGTTTTTAAAGTTGAGTCATTTATTTTAACAGCTTGTAGAAGTTGATGTACCAAAAATTATCTATATAAAAGTTGCATAATATGAGAGTTAGTACATTATTAAAAATTATTTAAACAAAATGTTTTCGTAAACATGGGCCATTTTTTCGCACAAAATAATCAGATAAATTAAACTATTAAAAGATTGATACAACTGATCGAACCAAGGACTCGTACTGAAAACCGTATCATAACACAAAAATTTTATCAGAAAAGCTGTGTAATAACATTCTTATTTAACTAAAATTTTTAATCTTTTACTATTTCTTTTATTTTGCAACTTTTATATAGGTGATTTTTGGTATATCGATTCCTTTTGACGAGTCCTACAAGCAGTTAAAATAAATGACTCAACTTTGAAAACACCCTGTATCAAGTCGACCGCTTGTATACATACATCCTTACATTGTAAAATTCTAAAGGTTTTAATTGATGTGTAAGGGTGCACGTGCCGATTCCCAATGGCGATGCCTGTTCCCCTCTATCGTTTTATTTGCTCTATCCCCATCACGTAAATTACTAGCCTGAGAATTTTCCGGATTGACGTGACTGCGACTTAAAAGTATCGATTATAAGGGTGACTTTCGCTTTCAGTTCCCACGCCACACTGGCCAGAATATATATTGTAATCGCGAAAAAATGAGATTTGTTTTTTTAATGTTGCATGTTTGTCGGTATTTCCGCTGCTCATTGATCCGTTTATAACTTGGATTTAGATCAAATCTTTACACAAGGTTACTACTATGTCAGTTCCAAGGAATACCTTTTTTTAATAAATCGTATACAGGTTTTAACATTTTTTATATTTTTGGCACTTTGTTCAAACAAGTTTTTATATAATCAATTGTAAACATGTTTTGGATCACTTTAAAAAAAAAGACCACCAGTACTTTTCTCTAAAGTTTACCGTTTTCGAGTTACAAGCGATTTACTGTTTCAAAACCCCTGAAAATGTGTATATTCAATGCTGAAAAACTCGGTTAAAAATTATAATTTTTGAGGAAGCAACGTTTTTGTAAATGATGTTGCCTCGAAATTGAGATGTTATGTTTTTTGTATGTTATATGACATGTACATCACGAAAAACAATGTCATTCATTTCCGTGGAAATTTAAACAGAAATAACCGGACACCGGACCAAAGGCGGTGTAGATACACTCGACGAGAAATGCTCGAAAAGTTCGACAAGCAGGCGAACACGTAGATGGCCGCTTGCAATATTCTTCCGTATTCTTGATGTATCTATTGTAAATTCATTTATTTTACATCAAGCTTTCAAAGACAATGAGGTGATAAAAGATAAATCAGTATTTGCAAAACAACTGGCTGCTGAATTAGTTCGAGAAAATATGGAAAGAAGACTAGCAAATGATCGAGTGTCTCGTGAAATACGCAGCAATATTAGTAGAATTTTGAGGCTACCGGAAACAAACGAAACACAGAATGAAGAGGAGCTTTGGCTTACAACACGTAAAGCATGCTATTTGTGTCCTGCAGCAAAACATCGCAAGACAAAGTATCTCTGTGTGCAGTGTAGACGAGCGATTTGCTTGCAGTGCTCAAAGCCTCTATGCAATACATGCGCAAAAAAGACGGTTGATTAGTTTCTGCTAGAGGAGCATTTCAGTGTTATTTTCCTTTGAGTTCTATTTTTTTGTATAGCTTAGGTCCCTAAAAATGTTTCAGATACATATTTTCCTACTTAGGTCGCTAATTTTTTTTTTGTGAGCTTTTAAGAATACATGTTTAATTAGGTCCAAGTTACGATATAGTTTTCGAGATATTTGTTGTTGTCAGAAACCAATTTAGAAACAAACCGTTTTTCCTCATTTACATGTAGTAGTAGGATCCCTATTGCTTTATACATAACAATAATAAATTATTTCCAAAAAATAACTTGTTTTACTATTTGCCCAGTTAGTGGTCTGTGAGACCCCACATGGATCTTTGCGCCCAGATGACTCACATGGTAGGTTAAGGGTTAACACAGATCTTAATATTGGCTCTTTGTTCGATGCTCATTTTTCGACCGATGCTAAAACGGTACTGTCACTTTGAGCGCGTTAACCCCCGTGAAGTGGTACGATTGCCATCAAATTTTGATTGGGCATCAATGAAAGATGTACCTATCCAACGCTAGTCTCCGATAATACATGGCACTACGCGCATCGGATATCTTTCAAATGTCCTGTTTACTTTGCGACAGACCTTGTGTATCTTTTCGCAGGTAAGAACATGACTTTCACGGGCGTAATAATGAGAATGCAATGTCGTCAGGTAGAGTGACTCAGTACCTCGCATGCATTCATATACAATTGTACCCTGAAACGCTTCCTGAATGTGCATTGTAATATTGTTATGAGTTTTTGAAAATACTTGTCATTATGTCCAAAAGTGCCAAAAATTGGTGTGGGCCCATTCAAGCCAAAGGTTAGCTAGGATAAACACCATATTAAAAATGAAGGACGTAGAGGATCTTTTTGAAGAAGCAGCGCATGAAGTACCTCAGAAAAGTGGCGTAAATCTCTGGGTTGCGACAGATGAACAGAAAATGTGGGATAATAATTAATGACGATAGTTCATAAGATCCATCAGAGTATAAACTTTGGGAAAACATTGTTGGATAAACAGAGAATCTGTCTAAAGAAGTTTAGTGTATAATTTATCGCGTAAATCTCACTAGCTATGAACCCCGGTTGCAGTTGCCGAGAGATAAATATTTATTAAATATCTACCACAACTGTTACTCGGTGGTTTTTTATTGAATGGAAGACAAGTGCACGGTTGTTTACGCCATATGTATACATCATAGCAGCCTAGGGGTGAACAACTAAGCAGTTTCCATCCCCCTTTTCCTCTGTCAATACGTTCGAGATTATGGTCGCTCAGGGGTGGATTCAACATTTTTCACGCTTGTTGTACAAAAAAATCAAAAATATTCGCGATCGCGCTACTGACAAGGTAGCAAGTAAAAATCTATATAGTAATGTTCAAATCTCACTTTATTTGGAATAAATTATGAGGCTTTAATGTTAACTGTGTTAATGAGTAATTTTGCTGCTCTTAAATTTTGTGTATCACTTCTAACATGAATTATCACTTATTCACACGCCACTCTCACACAACTAGAAGACCGAATATCATCCCTATTTTCATTTAAAATAAAAATAAGTTCACTTACCCATATACAAAGGCAGCTCCCGCAATGCCACCTCCACACTGGGCAAAAATAAAGAAAAATGTTCTTAGCGGCGAAATTTTCTTCACTATCAACATAGAAAGTGATACTGAAGGATTCACGTGAGCGCCTGAAAATAATAATAATCTCCTTCAAAAAGAAAAATAAAATGGATTAATTTGATTGACCCAATTATTTCCTACGCATTCAAGTTTCTTATACTGAGCCATGATGTTTCTTTTCAGTATAAATACATCTTAATAATCTCAAGGTCTCTCAAGATATGTACGCAAAACTGTACTAAAAAAACCTGTACTCCTCTCCTTTTTATACTCTTTACAAAAAAGTTTACATTTTTGACATACAACCATATTTTTTCATATAAATGTATACTATCATAAATTAAAAGTGGACATGTGGACACAAAAAAATGTACCCCCCCCACCACGCCGAAGCCCCGAAACAAGTAATAAAAATGAGTATTTTGAAAGGAAAAATTAGTAACACGTGTTTTCAAAGGATAAAAAAATAATGAAGCAAATAGTACTATGAAAGTAAAAATTAGTGAAAAAATGGCGTCAAGTAGATTGACTCTATACTTCCTCGCCGATGAGTCGAATCGTTTCAAAAGGCGAAATCAAACTATATAAAGTGAATCCATAATATTTCTATTTCCATGGCAGATGTTTGACTTATTATGTCTAACAGGTGCAAGGTATCACTGAGATCAGCAGCTCAATAAGAATATCTGAAGCGTTGTAACATTATGTTAAAGCGATTTTGTTGTTTTGTTCGCAGTTCCAATACATCTGAATCAATTTTCAAAATCTAGGACTACCTAAACGATGGAAGTTTCAAACTCGCTATCATATTCGAACTCCGGTTCACAAGTTTTCTGTTGCTCAAAGATACCTGCATCACACAAGTCCATGTTTCTCATTTATGTCGGTTTGTCAGTCCGTGTCTGTTGTATATTAATGTGTCATAAGTACCGAGTCAATCTACTTGACGAACTATTCAGAGAACCATCATAGACGGAGTAAGACAAATTAAAGGTTAGGCGAAATGGGTGGTACAATTACTTCCTCGCCAGTTTTGTCATAGGAAGTGAAATGAAAATTCAAGAAAAAAATTAGTATAAATGAGTAGCCGAAAAAATACTGAGCAAGAATGCTGAACCCCCTCCAGAACTTTTTTCTGTATGCGCCAGTGTTACCACCACAAAAGTTATGCGCTTCCCAATAAGTGAAGGATTTTGTCTGGGGTTAATGCCACTTGAGTTAATCAAACAAATTACAATGATGAGGCGCAGGCATGAAGACGTAACGACACTCTACTAGCAAAGATACGATGCACGTCATAAACAGAATAATACTGAGTGCCAGAAAAACAGCAAACATGTATATAAAATAAATATACCATTAATTGAATAAATGTGTCGCGCCTCCAGTTAACTATACTGGGAAAATAAAAACTGATACCCTGGGAATGGAATAGAGGTGCAGACGTGAACGCTGAACATGTGGCATGGGGCCCTGAAAGTTCCTGTTCTATCTTTAAGCATACTCGTATATACATCTACTTACTATAACTGTTTGGTAAGAACATATATAAGAATACCCGCGACTTCTTCCGCTTAAATTTTAAAATTAACATAAATTAAACCAAATTTTACATTGTAAAAATACCTGCATAGTCCAGTAGGAGTGGGAAGTAAAGACATAGGACTTTTGTACCAGCATGTAAATGCCTCTATTCTCCATTCTTAGCTGACTTGGCCTTTTGCGAAATGACGTGTCATCCGCAAATAACATACATTGATTCATGCTACAGTTCAGTGATGTAAATCAAAAAAAGAATATTTCCTAAGATACGTCCTTGGGTACTCCGTGGTTAATATGTACAGTGTTAGATAAAAAAATTTGAAAACTAACGTACTGTCTTCTGTCTGATAAATAAGACGTAATTAAGGGCAGGCTGTTATTACTAAAACCAAAAACGACAACTTTTGAAGCAAAATGTGAAGTTGGACGCAATCAAATGTGCTTTTGTAAGATCATAGAAGCTAGCTAGGATTGCTAAGACTCCATGAGAACTTCTGATCAGGATGCTCTGGAGAGCTTATTCCCAAAGTTTCTGCAAGATTCACCAGGTACTGATTTCCATAAGGTTTGCTCCCTTTCTTTATAGAAAATACGACAACGAAAATACGGAATATACAGGGTGTAATTTAATTGGTGGCTAAAAAAACAGGATACGATTCCTTAGCACATTTCAGGGAGAAACGTTTATACGAACACATGTTCTAAACCTCTTAACTTTGGAACTACAGGGTGTTAAATTTTGAGAAAAATGAAATTTGACCTGCACAAATAGGCATTTTTTGATGTAGAATATTTGTGAATATTTTTCTAAAAAATCCTCATTTAATTTGCAACAAATTTGAATTTTTTTAGTCCGGTGCATCGTTTTCGCGAACCCTTTCAAAAATTTCAGGGGTATTTCTTATAGTTTGGCAAGCAGTAAAATTTTCCGCCGCAGTTCATCTACAGTGTGAACCGGTGTAGTATAAACTAAAGTCTTGAGGTGCCTTCACACAAAATAGTCTAAACTATTCAAATCAGAGGATGTGGGAGGCCAAAATTGAGTTCCTCCACGTCCTATCCAGCGATTCGTAAACGCTTCATTTAAAAATTCCCTAGCATGAATGCTAAGCACCATCATGCATGTATCACATTTCTTCTCTTAATAAAAGAGGGTACATCATCGAGCAAAATTAACAAATCGATTTCAAGAAAGTGACGATACGATAGTCCAATCCTGGAAGAACGGTCCTATGAGGATATCTCCAACTATTCCAGCCCGCACACTCACGGAAAACTGCTCCTGATGTGCCTCCGTAATTGCATATGGATTTTCTTCGGCCCATACATGTTAATTAGGAACATTTCGAACGGAATTGCGGGAAAAAGTAGACTATTTTGACATCAAAGTAAGTTTTTCTAAGAACCATAGGTAGAAACTTAAACGCAATGGAAAATCACGCGGCAGTAGTGCTTGAGCCATTTGAATATGATGGGGGTATAGTAAAGTATCAAGTATTTTCCAAATATGAAAATGGGAAACATTAAACATTACCGCAATTTTCTTAGTAGGTACGTGTTTTTGGATGTTGTTGGATGTATCACGTTTATGAATACTTGTCAAAATAAGCTCGCAACGTAATCGACCAAATGTCATTATTTTACAAACAAAATAGGGCCTACTAGATAGTTCAAAATAATTTTATACCACAAATGCTTGAAGATGGTTTTTATTTTTAGGTGAAATGTACTGCTAAATAGCAGTGACTTTCAGAAATATATATATTTTTTAAATCTCCAGTATACGGACGCTACTGGTAGAAATATTAAAAAATATTCTACATCAAAAAATGCCTATAGGTGCATGTCAAACATCTAGTAACAGTATTAAAAGTTATGTATCTCAAAAGTTAATAGGTTTAGGACATATGTTCATATAAACTTTTCTTCCTAAAATGAGCTAAGGAATAATATCCTGTAGTTTTAGTCATCAATTAAATTACGCCGTGTAGAGATGTTTATATGATACCCACCCGATATATGTCCAAAGCACTGTGTTAGAGATGTCATTGTAAATCCAGCAGCTAAAGAAGTGGCTAATAAGACTACGGATGGTGGAGGTGCTGATGCAGGTGTTACTGCAGATGCTGCTGCTGCCGCTGACCCAACAGCTGCACCACATACTATGAACACGTAAACAAAACTTGCCAAGCACTCCGATATCACGGCGCGCCAAAAATCTAAGCTTCGAATTTCCAATTGAATCGGACTTCTCGTTTTCAGTGCGGTTATTGTTTCACTGCGCAGAGTTTCCAACTTTTCAAACATCGTCACTAGGTGGAATTCTATGTTTTGATCATTTTGCAGATTATTCTCGGCCATATCAAAAAATGATATCGAAACGGTAAATATTTGAACGAAATAAAGAATACGGCAACGTTAATCACAAACACTTGTTAAAATGAAGAACATGCGTGAATCGATGAGCGAAACATGATATCAATGAATGAGAGAGGGCGAACTGATGGGGCACAAACGAAATTTAAAAAGTGCACCATGTGTTGGGTTCTCCCACTATCTGTCGTCGGACCAACCAGAACCAGGGCAGTGCAAGCATCTGCTGGCCCAATGCCGAATGGGCCTCCGCCGCGCTGTGTCGCCGCAGCCGCAACAGATGATGAACCGAAGAAAAGATGACAAAAGGCCAACAATCGCCTCGCCCACGACACGAATAGAACGCTTATAAATAAGGAGGTTTCCTATTTCTTAAGACACGCCATTCATTAAAACTAATGCTGTCGGGGTTAATGGAATTTCACTCATTATGATAAAATACATTTTCACATTACTTTTAGACCACATTACATTATCAATCACGCCATAGCAAAAGACCATCTCAGGACACAAATTTGGCAAAGCTTATCGTAATATCTCTAGAATATTTTACAGTTACTTGGAATTTGGAGCAGAAAGTTATATTTTTTCCTAAGTGTGCAAAAATTAATAATTTTTGGTGACATAATTAAAACTGTATCAAACTCGAAAGATGCAAAACAACATAATGTGCCTCGCATTTTACTCATTGACAGTAACCAGCAATAAACACCCTTTGTCAATATCTGTTATTTCAGATAAATAATTTTGTATCTATTGTCAGTTGGATTCTTATTACCATGTTTTATCTCAAAGCTACTGCAACTTTTGCAATACACACTCCTTATTATACAGGGTGTTTAAATGAATAGACGGAGATATTTTACAGGGTGATTCCTTGTTAAAAAATATGAAAAAAAGTTTCTATAAACATGGGTCCGGATATGCAGAGTTTTCAAGATGCAGGGTGATACATTTAAAAAAAAAATACGCGAATAATTATCTCTCTTCTAGAAAGAACAACTCACGCGCAAATGTCTAACCTTCATGCAGAAATGATGTTTTGTTTTCCAAGGCGCTTCCGATTTTTATAGCAAAAATTAATAAAACAATTTTGTCCAGTGACATGCAATAAAACGGTTTATTTTTTTTTCGAAAACGAAGTGAGATACGAAAAAAATACAAGAGGCAAAGAAGTTGTATTCTTAGATGCTTACTCAAACAATAAATCTTAAAGTTACAAAAAAGGCAGTAGCGTACACTTTTTTGCCAATAATATTCGCTAAGGTGCCCCCCAGGACGCAACTGGACCTAGTAATTTTAATCTACTAAGGTATAAATTAGCCTCTAAATA